CCCCCAAAAAAATAAAATAAATAAATAAAGATCTGTGCAAGTCGATTTTATACTGGTTTGAATCCTAAAGTTGCTTAAATAACTGATATCTTAGCCTAAGTAGGAATGGAGTTGTTCCTTTTAAACAAAAATTCATCATTTTTCAATCCAAAACCACGATGGATAGGGGGAAAAAAAAAAGACAGACAGATATTTTCGATTTCAAGCTTTCTTCATCTAGCATTAATATCTGAAATAGTACAGTGGAATTTTCCATGTTAAAACTGCAAAATGTTGCAGGCATTGGTAATTAATGGACACCATACGTGGGTCATTGTGCTAATTAGGAGTTGTGGGGGTTGTTAGGCACCATTTATTTTTACTTGGCCTTGGTCCATACTACGGCTCGCGCTATCATTTATGCGTTACCAGTTTCATGTTACCTCGGTGGAGTTCGTGGAGTAGAACCACTGACCTCCCTTATATAGGAGTCTTAAGGTCATCCCTCTATCACTTAAGAAACTAGGAGTGTCTTTTTCTTTTTAATTTTATTTTGTTAATTTTTTATTTAAACATGAAGATTTGTTGGTAAATTTTTTTATGATCACTTTGAAATGAGATAAAATAAATATTTGTTTGATGTTATGTTAACCAACAAAAGAATGAAACTTCATTAGTATTGATAATTCCACACACATTTTTACACACCGTGAAATTTGTTATTAGTACGCAACTCAAGGTCGAGCCATGAATATTGCAAGGCGAACCAAGCCTATTTGTTTTGGGGGAGTACTCATTGCTCCCTTTTCGTTTCTTGTCTAAATACAAGGAAATGCTCTTTTCGTTCAACTCGCGCTTCTGATTGATATTTAGTTTCAAAAAAATTGGCCAATATATATCAATGAAATTAAGTGCTTGTCTTGGAAAAATTATAATTTGATTATATTGAAGAAGGATATCACACATAATATGTAGATAATACGTGGATAATAGTTATAAGAGTAATGTTATTTGTAATAGCTTATTGTCATAGTTGCTCTATGTAACATATATGTGACGATTAGTGATTTGATATATTAATGTGGTAATTTTTTATTATCTTATGCATTAAATCATTAACAGTTGTATGTATGTCACGTAGAGTGACTACGATACTGAGTGACTGCAAATAACATTATTTTAACTATAAATGTGTACTTAAAATTTGAATTTGATTTCAAATAATAAGAAATTATAATGAATCCAAACAAGCACTAAGAATATTAAAAAGAAGAGTAATGTTATTTAGTACTTGTCTATGTATCACCTAATTATATCTTTCATTGAATTTATCACATAATGTCACCTAAACTGGTATTATAGCATTACGTAGCATTATTCTAAAAAGAAAACAACCTAACATAGTCATGCAAATAGATTGAAATAAATGGTGCAAAAAAAAAAAAAATAATAATTACTATCGTAAACTGGCAACCCATCAGTAGTAAAAAGGTGTTAATACAGTGAACAACCCAGAAGCACAAAATAAATGAAGAAAGCTGTCAACTTCAGAATTCCCATGATGTATGAATTCTCAAGAAAAAAAATAAAAAGGTTGAACCCCATCGTTCCGCCCCTGGAGCATCGTGAGGAAAGTAAATCGCGCGATGTGCCCCAACAAGTCAGGGAACAAGAGCTTGTCCGTACATTGATGCTCACAAAGAGTTCAATTCCATATCTCAGGAATCGAACATTCATATTTCGACTGTCAGTAAGGTTGATACTACCTTACTCTTATCTTTTGCACCACTATGTTATGCCCAGAGACCCCATGATGTATGAATTCTCTCACAGTCACACGTTACAATATTAAATAGATACAGCAAATATACAGCTATATTTCTCCAACCGCAAGACTGATGAGGCATGTGAGCAATTAATTAGACAACCATATGTACCAGTCAGACGTATGACTAGCTAGCAAATGACATTTTAATCCTTTTTTTTTTTTTTAATGTAACAATTTAATCTATGAATGACTTATTATTTATCTTGTAATTCTTTCGGAGTTTTGAGGTAAGTAACAAGTCGTTTTTTCCTCTTAAAATATGATTTATAGAGCACACGGGTTATTGAAGTGATATCGTAGTAAAATAGTCCTATATTTTATTTATCTTGCAATTATTTCATAATTTGAGGTAAGCGATAAATATTTTTTTCTCTTTATTGGGATATGATTTGAATAACGGATGTCACTTTTGGAAGGATTGGGAACAATGTTGTCAACCTCAAGGTTATTCAAAACAAATAGAATTGATCTTCTATCCTCAATACATAAGATAAAAGCTTCTTACTATTGACGTAGTAAGAGAACTTTAGTTATAGTTCTCGAAATTTATGACCGTTTCAGAGGTACTTCGGTATTTCAATGAATGCATAATTTTGTTTAATTTCTTGAGTCATGTATTTAACAACCTTGATTGCAGGGCGCTATATGGACCGCCTGGTATGCACTATGATGTGATTCGTGGCACAATTAATGTGACTAAAGGAGGCAATTTTATGTCATCCCACCTAACCCACCTAAACATGTTGATGAACATAAATTTTCCTTTGGGAGAACGGAAAATTTAGGTTCATTGAGTTGGTGCTCAATAGGGCTGCACAAAAAAAAAAAAAAAAAAAAAAAAAAAAACAAAACCGGAAAAAAAAAAAAAAATGTTAAAGTGAAAATAGATATAAATCGCCCAAACTTATCTAGTTAGGGACAAAATAGTTGGAAAAAATAACTTATAAAAAGCTTCAAATTAAATATTAAAAAATTTCATTTTTCATTTTTCATTTTAATTTTTAAGTTTCAAGTTTTATGTAAAAAAAAAACCACGAGACCGTAAATCGAATCGAAATCGTTAAGTTGAAATCGTTGGTTCGGATCCACGTGGATCCATGGTTTTTTCCCTCAAACCGAACCAAACTGTTTCAAAATGATTTGATTTAGGTTTTGATTTTTAAAAATCTCACAAAATCGAACCGAACTGAATCGAACCATTTTTAAATTTTTTAATTAAAATATTAATTTTATTAACTTAAAATTTTTATAGTTTTCACTTTTTATTAAAAAAATAATAATAATAAATTACCAATTAAGCAATACAAATTACAACCAGCCTATTGAACTAATCATGGAAATTAAATTAGATTCATCATTATTACCCTATAATTTAACAAGTTCACAACACCTATCCTCACTCAATATCTACACTAAATTAAAATTATTCTAGAATCATATGAAATGAGAAAAAACATATATTTTTAACAATCCAAATCATAATTCAACAAAATTATGTTAGCAAATCACGTCCAAAATTTCAAAAGCACTAACATAAATTCTCATTTCCCTAACATTTGAGGCTTGTTTGTTATTGCTGAACGAATCGCCAGCTGACTTTGCCTGTTAGTGTGCTAAATTCTACCTAAATCGACTCTTTCAGTAAGTCTCAAATTGTCATTCAAACTATTTTTCCGTTGTTCTTCTTTTAATTTATGTTTATGAACTTATTATACATTTGTGAGTTGTGATTTGGATAGAAAAATAACATTTTTTGTGCCTACATGATTAATGAAAAGTATGAAGGACGAAACATATTGATTGTATGAACATGTTAAAATTTTCTAACTAGTACTACTATCTTCTACTTCCATAAAATACTTATAAAATGAAATTTGTCAATTCCCAATAAACCGAAATTCTACCAATCTTTATACATTCAAACATATCTCATTCAATCATTATTTAACATCTCACTAGTAAGACTAAAAAGTTTTAACCAAACTAGAATAATAAAATGTAACTCTATATTTTCTAACTGCTATATGACAATATGAATGTCAAATAAGAAAAAATAAATAAAAATGAAAAAAGATGTATTTGTTCTACTAACATCTTTTAACAACCAACCTTGAAAATAATTTACATGGGTTTTGTGGTAAATATTAATATAATTTAATATTTAACATTATTTGTTTTCATTTAAGCTTATGTGTTAATTTATGTTAAGGGCCTGTTTGGGCTCGATTTTTCACCAAAAAAATTGATTTTTTGACCATTATTTCACTATTTCAGCCGTCATATTTGACTTTTTCTCTCACAGGTGGATCCCACTTTTCTCTTAACGGTCAAAAAATCAATTCTCAAAATCATTCCCAAACAGGCTCTAAATATATTACTATAATGTCGATAGATAAATCGCGAATTAAAATCGAACCAAACCACAAATTATGGTTTGGTTTGGTTTGGTTTGGAAAAATTTCAAACCGTATAAAATAGTTTAAGTTGAAAATATAGCACAAACCGTCCAAATTGAACCGCGTTCACCCATAGAATGCTCAATTCCACATAATGTACACAATAATTAGACAAATTTGTAATTGCTCTTTTCTTTAATTTAATTAAACCTATATCACTGATTATATTGTATATAAATACACCTTTGGTTTATCTAATTTGATTTTCGACTGAAAATAGAGAATGTACAGTGTATATATATCATGAATTCACAATTCGAAAATATTGTTGAAGAAAAAGTTTCCATTTATCATTACATTTTTATGAACATATATATTTTTATAGCTTCCAACGTCGAAGAGGAATAAAACATTTACATGTACACAAGCAAGTAAACAAGAAAAATTAATGCTCAAACAAGAAAAAACAAAGAGAAAGAAAATAACTGCAATAAATCAATGCATTAGTCAGAAAAAATGAAATAATTAAGGAATGTAACAAATGAGTTGTAACCTATGGAGTAGCCTTTTTTCCTCCCTTTTTCATGTATTAAATTAATTAAACAATTGATCAAATATTTATTTACAAAGTTATTATGTAAAATATGAAAAACAAGAGGAAAAATAACGAGATAGATAGTAATTTCTTCTAATTTTTCCCATAATAAATGTTAATAATTAGTACATCCAATTCCTCTAATTCAATAATCTGAAACTTCATCCAGCACAAAGCTAATCTCCAATTCATCATTGTCAAAAAAAGAATGAAGAAAATGGACTAAAGTCTAAAACAAACAAATAGTAGTAACATAGCTGTTAAAAACTCTGTCAAGATGCGGAGTACTAACGGTTAGACGGTAAGATCCGTGCACCATAGATATTATTTCTAGAAAATTAGGATTTCATCGATATGACCTTAGAATAGCGCCACAGAAAGTACACATGATGGCTCTCCAAGTCTTCACATAAAATGGTACATAGCAGAACCTCGTTGCAGTCTTCATGTCGGCAACGCTAGCGCCGCCGCCGCACCGGGAGCATATGCCGGCAGCTGGTTTACATCTCCTCACCTTTCTTGTCTGATCAACCAGAAAACAGAAGCAAACCATTTTGTGTTTGTTTTTATGTCAAGAATTTGAATACAAAATGGTATAGTTGGGTTTTTATGTAGGAGAGGGTACCTATTTATATAGGAGGCTTGAGAAGATTGTGGTTGATGCCTTGATGGTGGTGAATAGACCAGTTGTATTGGATTGGATATTTATGTTGACTTCTGACCCAAGAAACTGATATTTAAATTTAATTAATGAGTTTAGAATTATTTTTTAATTAAATTTCAACAGTCAACGGAATTGAATATTATAATAATGGAATCTATGTACGAGGAAAAAAATAAAGGAAAAAAAAAATGGGGGACTGTTTTATTCTTGTTCTATTGTGAATTTCCAAAATTTTGATCTTGAACCTTATGGAAGAATAATATAACACTTACTAATCTCTTTGATTATACGTTTGATCATATGTTTTTCTTTAATCAAGAAGAATAATTATTGTTTGGGAGTGTCTTCTGACATTGTGTATTTTCACTAGAGAATGTTAATTTGTGTATTTTTACTAGAGAATGTTAATTATTTAGTGACGTTAATTCATTAAACAAAGTTTTTCGTGGGGTGGAATGGCTATGGGTTTATACTAGAAAAGATAATTATGTTAGTAAATTGTCACATGGATGTCATTCTAGTATATGTGATTGACAACAATGTGGATTACACTGAAAGGTGCTCGCATAAACTAAAATAGACGATGTTTTATAAAATTTTCTCTCCAATTCAACATATTTGTGAATATGTTTAGATAACATGATAAGAAAAATGCAGACTTTATCAAGAGGATTAGTCATCATAATCTAATTAGTAATGTTATTCATTGTCACGGGTATTAAGCACGAGTTTAGGTGGCAATTACTTGACAATAAATGATAAATTAATTTAAACATAAGATCATGTGGCTTGAATCAAACTTGATGCTAGGTGGCATTATTTTAATTTAATACTTCTTTCACTCTCTTTATCTCTCATGTTTATTATTGTCTCTCTTATCATTAATAATAAAATTTGAATTTTTAATGAAATTCATTGGCGATGAATATAATTTAAATTGTATATTCATGTCTGTCACATTTATTGAAAGTCTTTTTATTTATATGCACCTAGATTACAATTCATGGAAAGTATTGAAGATGCTCCAAGTATTTCATAGTTATGATGAATTTATTGAGGTAATGAACTAAGTTGTCTTTTTCTTCATGCGTTTTCTTGGTTCGAACACTACAATATGGTCGAAATCTCACCGCAAGTCACTTTGTATTGCGACATCTTTAGCTTGACCTCTAATTTTGCCACAACTTAAGACATGATAAATCGATAACTCTCAACTTTAGATAGAGTTAACTCGACATTAACATTCCTAGCCAAACTTGAAGATTCTTCTAACTAACTCAGCTAGTTATATGAAATTAAACTCGACAATTTAGAAAGACTATAACAAAACTAACAATAATATTTACGAATGCATTCATTTGAAAACGAGGTAAACACTTACAATTGCAATACAATGTTTTGTAAGAATTTTTTAATTAAAGATGGGCTTGTATGTGTGAATAATTGTGTATTAAATTATAGGCTATCGAATTCGGTTGAGCCCAATTAAAGTGATCTAATAAGGTTTCGGTTTTGGGCTTTAATGTGTCCAATTAAAGTATGGGTTTACATATGTGTAGAGACCGGGCCCAAGTCCTAATTCTATGATGGGCCGAATTAGGTCAAAGGGCATCCTCATATAAATAGGTTATGGTCCCCAGATCACGCGCAGATTATTGTTCATTCTCTACTGCATCCCATCACAGAGAGGAAAAGGAGACTGCGTGTAGATTTGGAAGATCATACCGCGAAATCCATATTGCATTAATCATGTCAGATTCAGGTATGCTTCCGCTTTAATTATTATATTTCTCGATGATTTAACATGAAAGATCCGACATTTTAAAGTATTAAATTATCCAACAAGTGGTATCAGAGCCTCTTCATGTTGAATCATTGAGAATCAAAGGTTTTAGTTTGGTTCTTGCAATATATTTTGAAATTTTCAGATTTAACAATTTTTGGTTATATGTTTTGTTAAATTTGAAAATTTTTGCGGTATAATTTTATTATTTTCGTATGGATTTATTCAGTTTAAGAAAATTCAGATTTGGAATTTGGAATTTTTATAGTTTCGGATTAAGATTTAATTAAAAAAAAAAAAAAAAATTTTTTTTTTGGTTTTTCAGTTTTTGATTTTGGGGGCGGGGGCCTCCTCTGTAAATTAAATACGTTGAGGCCCCTGGTTGCAATTAGGGTTAGGGTTATAAAATTAAGGTTTCAGTCCCTAACCTTTAAGTTATATTGATATTTGGGCCTTTAAGTTTCGGATTTAATAATTCAGTCCCTAAGGTTTTAAAATTAATTAATTCGGGCCATTAAAGTTCTGAATTTATAATTAAAGCCCTCAAAATTTAATTATTAATTCAAATTGGGCCCCTAAGTTCATAATTAATTCAAATTGACCCCTAAAGTTTCAAATTTTTAAAATTTGATCCCTAAAGTTTTGAATTGGTCAATTTTGACCCCTAAAGTTTTAAAATTTGTTCTAATTGATCCTCTAAAGTATTGAATTAATTAATTTTGGTCCTTAAAGTTTCAAGTTTATTAATTTCAACCCCTAAAGTTTGAAATTAATTAATTTTGCCCCCTTAAAGTTTTGAATTATTAATCCTAAGGCCCCTAAAGTTTAAAACTAATCAAAATATCAAATTCACGTTCCAAACTTTTTTTTTTTTTTTTTTTGGCATTTGTTTTAAAAACCAAAGCTATTCGAAAGTTAGTTAATTGAAGCAATATGTTGCCAAAGCAACCTCTCTTGTGAAAATTAACTAACCTAGAATGTTAAAAAGTGTTTGTGCACGTGTTATTCATGAGAATATTGGTCGGCCCAAAGGAAGGTCAATATTTAGCCAAATACACGTGCACCTGTGGTGATAAACGTGTGGCGATTATTTGTTTTAATGTGTGATCAATAAATCGGTCCAAAGAAAGGTTTATTGATTGACACGTTGTTTTATCGTCAACGTTTGATCACTACGCCAAGAGTACCGCTTACAAGTCAATATCTCTGTCCAAAGACTAGATATTGATGTTGTGCTTGGTATCTTGTGACGGGCCCTACCACTATT